TCTGGACACATTCCAGCTTGTCAATATCTCTCTTGAATTGTGGTGCCCAGAATTGGACACAATATTCCAGATGTGGTCTAACCAAAGCAGAATAGAGGGGTAGCATTACTTCCTTAGATCTAGACACTCTGCTCCTATTGATGCAGGCCAAAATCCCATTGGCTTTTTTTGCCGCCACATCACATTGTTGGCTCATGTTTAACTTGTTGTCCACGAGGACTCCAAGATCTTTTTCACACGTACTGCTCTCGAGCCAGGCGTCCCCCATTCTGTATCTTTGCATTTCATTTTTTCTGCCAAAGTGGAGTATCTTGCATTTGACAAGGACTACCAGCATGTGAAAGTCACCAGAATTCACACTGAATATAGGTGGGACCCATTCATACAAGATCAAATGAGCAAATGATAACTGATGGGGTCTAATCACAACTCCCAGGATCCCCCAGTGGAGACTGGGTTCAAAGAACAAGGTATACAAAGCCAAAGAAATAAAGGACAGGGATCACAAGTGGTAAAAACACCAGGCAACAGAATAAAACAACCTGGATTAATAGATTTGCAAAAACAAAAAAGGCCCAAATTGGTCACCAAGGGAGCATTTGACATAAAGTGTCCCTACCTGCACTTTTCTAGAGAAGAAATTACCCCACAGACAGACTGGAAGGGCTTTTTCTCCAAGCATACAGTACGGTTACAAGCAAAGTTCCATCTGACAGTTGGTTTCCCTCTCACCTCATATCCCTCACTTTGGCCCTCACCTTCACAGCCCCGTTTCTATAGAAACCCTCTCCCTTGCTTCAAGTGAGCTACAGGTCAAGGCATGGCCTACTTTCATGTTTCCACACAACACCCATGACATCAAAGGGCCTGATGGGGAATCTGATCTGTTAGGCTCAAAAATAAGCCTCAGTTGGGTTGATTCCACCATAAATATAGCAGAGTACAGAAGTAAACTTACGTGTGGTGAAACTGAGATAAGCTTCTATTCTTAGGATGGGACAGGATTGCAGAGTCAGAACTTTAGGTTCAAAAGTATTTATGGAAGTAAAAGAAATACATTCTTGATAGAAAAGGTCTTGGAGTTGACTAGTTTACTAAATCTCATCTTCCTAAGAGGCAAAAGGGTAAAAAGTCCACGCAGTTACATTTTGCCTAGAAAGAGGCAAAATGTGCATCCTCATAGGTAGAAAAAACAGCAGAGGAGTGGGGAAAAAATGGCAAATGGCCACATGGCCAGCCCAGGGTAATAAAAGGGCCTTCTCTGTGGTGGCCCCCTGGCTCTGGAATTCACTCCCCAGAGACATTAGGCAAGCTCCCACGCTGGCAATCTTCAGGAGGAATCTGAAAACCTGGTTATTCCAATGTGCCTTCAATGGTTGAATGTAAGATACTCCCTCCCAAATTCTGCACAATTGACCTCAGAAGTATTTTATTTTATGGTTTGTGCAATCAATTCCTTCCTAAATCCAGATCTCCCTCCCCAACAATTTCCATTGCCCAATTTCCCAGTGTTTTAAAATTTTATCCTTAAAATTGGCCTTGCCCCGTGCAATTTCTGTTTGTTTACCGATTTTATACTGCTCTCTCGCTTATTATTAGGTTTTGCATTTTATGTTTTTTAGTTCTGTTATGCCTTGTGTTATATTATGCTATCCTTTAGTGTAATATTGTGTTATTTTGTTATTGTATTGATGGGCGTGGCCTCGTGTAAGCCATCCCGAGTCCCCCTGGGGGAGATGGACCGGGATATAAATAAATTCAGGCCCGTAGCGAGGGGGGGGGGGTTAGGGGTTCAACCCCCCCGAAATGTTTCAGATTTTTTTTAAAAAACCTGGTTTACTCATGAATTTTAACTGGTTAACCAAATCCCCCTGCTAAGTCTATGAGATGCAAAAAATCAAGAGTCCCTCCAGAACTGCAAGCACTATCTCAAGCAAATATTAGCAATTTATTCACACTGTCATTACTTGCAGCAATAGCCGATGTAGTTGTTCTGGTACAGCTGTACCAGGAGCTCCAACTTTATTTGCTTTGTATTAAATGTTTGCTTGCAGTCCTAGGTTTCAGGGACTCTGCAGATAGGTGGCTTCCTTTGGTTGCAGTCATAGGGCAAGTCACCTGTCCATCATTGTTAAGTTTTGGTTCCGCCCCTTGCTCAGGGCAATTGGGAAGGGAAGGGAGCCATTTTTAGTTAGTCTCAGCAAGGTAAGCTTATGTATAGGATGTGTGCAAGCTTCCCCTGTACAAAAGCTTCAACCCTTAAGACCTTCCGGGGGAGAAAGGTCTTAAGAGTCTCCAAAGAATTTCCAGGAACACAGCCCAAAAGACCAAAGAACTCCAGCTGGAGAACATCTACTGCCTTGCTGGTAGGTCCACTCGGCGTTCGAGACACAGTTCGACCCGGTAGTGGAGCCCACATCAGTAAGAGTTAGATTACAGTCAGCCTGGGAGAAGTTAAAACGGGGATTTTCCTTTAAAGAAGAAGTTATTGAAGACAGTTGGCTGTCCTTCGTGGACAAGATTAGGAGTTCACCACTTGCCTAAAAGCTTGGAATCATTTGCTTAACTTTACTGAAGACAAGAGAAGTTTCTGTTTGATTGTTCATTAATAAAAGACTTTTTGTACTTCTCAAGCCATCTAAAGACTGTTTGTGGTGGAAACCCCTGAGAACTTCTCTTTAGGCCCCCTGGCTTCCCGCTGGGCAAAGGTTGCACATCCTGTTCTAAAGATAATTATTTACAGGCCCAGTGCGCGACAGAACAGTAGTGAAGCAACCAAGTTGGGGTGGGGGGGATGTTGAATGCTCTCATTAAGGAGGCCAGACTTGGTGGAGGTGGTTGACAAGGACGGAGCTGCAGGCTATTGAAGGCTGCTCTGCCCCCTGCTGTGCTCTTTGCTTCAGCGTGAGCTAGGAGGCAGGTTTCAAACCCCCCTGCAAAATTTTCAACCCCCCCCCCCGAAAATTTCAACCCCTCCCGAAATTTTTTTCTGGCTACGGCCCTGAATAAATTATTATTATTATTATTATTATTATTATTATTATTATTATTATTATTATTATAAAATACCTTTAAAAAGGAAGTTCCTTCACAGAATTCCATTGCTACATCACCAAAGGGGAGGATAGTGGCAAGGAGGAAGAGTAAAGACAAAACTCTTTTGGGAAACATGCATAGGAATGTGGGGGGAGGAATCCCTCAGCCTAATCCAGTGGTTCCCAACCTTTTTTTGACCAGGGACCATTTTGACCAGAATGGTCAAAATTAGTACTCCAAAATTAGTACTAAAAGGGCTACGAATCAGTTTTTGGTCAATTTTAGATTCAATTTGGTTATTATTATTATTAACTTTATTTATACCCCGCTAACATCTCCCGAAGGACTCGATGCGGCTTACAAGAGGCCAAGGCCAACACATTAATAAAACAACAGTATAACAAATACAACAATAAATAAACTCATAAAGCAAAACAATAACATTAAAACAATAGCAATAAACATTAGACAATAACACCATGACGCATTTAAAACTGAGGCCGGGCCAAATATAATGGATAAAAATTTAAAAAAAATGCTGGACATGACAGGGGAAATGGATAGGTTTTTTGGAGATAGGTGCAGTGTGCAGACTTAAATCTCTAGTAAAGTGCATTTGGGACATGATGCTAGGAGTTTCCTATTCAGGGAAGGCACACCAGAACAGTCACGTCTTCAAGCTCTTTCTAAAGACTGCCAACGTTGGGGCTTGTCTGATGTCCTTGGGGAGAGAGTTCCAGAGTCGGGGGGCCACCACAGAGAAGGCCCTGTCCCTCGTTCCCACCAAACGTGCTTGCGATGCAGGTGGAATCGTGAGCAGGGCCTCTCCAGATGATCAGAGAGATCGTGTGGGTTCATATACGGAGATGCGGTCACGCAGGTAGGCAAGTCCCAAACCGTTTAGGGCTTTGTAGGTAAGCACCTGCACCTTGAATTGGGACCGGAAGATGAACGGCAGCCAATGGAGCTCCTTAAACAGGAGGGTTGACCTCTCTCTGTAAGGAGCACCAGTTAACAACCTGGCCACCGCCCGTTGGAGTAGTTGGAATTTCCAGGCCGTTTTCAAGGGCAGCCCCACGTAGAGCGCATTACAGTAGCCCAATGTGGAGGTGACCAAGGCATGGACCACCCTGGCCAGTTGGCGCACGAGTCTCAATTGTGCAAAAGCCCTCCCAGCCACCGCTGATGCCTGAGCTTCAAGCGAAAGTAATGAGTCTAAGAGAACACCCAAACTGCGGACCTGTGACTTCAGGGGGAGTGTAACCCTGTCCAGCACAGGTTGCCACCCTATACCCCGATCCGGTTTACGATCGACCAGAAGGACCTCTGTCTCGTCAGGATTAATCTTCAGCTTGTTCATCCTCATCCAGACAGTTATTTGGGGTTCTCATTCAGAAAATTGTACTGGATACACTACATCAGTTTTAGTTTCTGATACAGAACATATGCCATCCAGTAGTCACCATCTGCTTGCCCACAGAAAACCATATTTCATAAGCCTTGGTACTGTAAGAGGGTTTCGCAAGACCAGTCGCTTTTGTTGCAATGTAGTAACGGTGAGGCCACGGACCATATTTTAGTTCTTGCACTGGTGGTCCACGGTCCACAGATTGGGAACCACTGGCCTAATCCTATCTCTAGTCTAGCTACTCACTGAGGTCTGGAAACTTGATGACACAATAGACTTGTGCAGTCCAGGGATGAAACCCAGCAGAGCCACCACCAAGAATTCCCTGCAATGGATTGCTCAGTAGAGATAACTAATACAAAAAGTTCGAACCCATTTGAGCTATGGGTCTAAAGCTAAGTAAGACAACCTCAGTCTTATGACTGTAAAATGGAAACAATGAAGATCGACTTTAAAAAATGGATTAATGAAAATTAAAAGCAGTGTGTTGCAAACATCTGATTTCTTCCAAACTAGATCCAGTTCAAGTGAAACTGAATGCGCTCGGCACACTTACCTTCAGCGCAGACAGATCAAAGTCGGTGTGCAAAATGTTGACAGGAGTCTTGCCGCCATCAATGCTCCGGAAGAGCTTGAGTCCCCGGATGCATTCGTTTGCTCTCTGATGGAGCTGCAGTGGGAAGAAAGCCTGCCGTGAATTTTCAATTCCTCAATCAACAGAATGAAGCCTGGCTTTTCATTGTGGGAAGAGAAATGGAAGAGCAATGCCGTCGTCCCTGTACATTTGTGCCTCTGCTTTCTTGCAGCCTCTGCTACTGCTCTACAAACAAATGCCTCTCAGCTGCATCTGTAAGCCCTGCAGTGCGATTCCATGCCTAGAGAATTGTTTTCTCAGACTGATCTACCGAGGCCCCATCTACACTGCCATATAATCCAGTTTTGGAATGCAAATGAACTGCATTCCAAAACTGGATTATATGGCAGTGTAGATCCAGCCTAAGGCCCTGTCTGCACTACCATATATAATCCAGATTATCTGCTCTGGATTATGTGGCAGTATAGATTCAAATAATCCAGTTCAAATCAGATAATCTGGATGTTCTGTTTTGAACTGGATTATATGGCAGTGTTGACTCATATAATCCAGTTCAAAGCCGATAATGTGGATGGTCTGCTTTGAACTGGATTATGTGGCAGTGCAGACTCATATAATCCAGTTCAAAGCGGATAATGTGGATGATCTGCTTTGAACTGGATTATATAGCAATGCAGACTCATATAATCCAGTTCAAAGCCGATAATGTGAATATAATTCAGTTCTGTCATATAATTCAGTTCTGCTTTGAACTGAATTATATGACATTGCAGACTCATATAATCCAGTTCAAGGCCAATAATGTGGATGGTCTGCTTTGAACTGGATTATATCGTAGCATAGAGTCATATAATCCAGTTCAAAGCCGATAATATGGATGATCTGCTTTGAACTCAATTATATGACAGTGCAGACTCATATAATCCAGTTGAAAGCCAATAATGTTGATGCTCTGCTTTGAACTGGATTATATGGCAGTGCAGACTCATATAATCCAGTTCTAAGCCAATAATGTGGATGGTCTGCTTTGAACTGGATTATATTGCAGTGCAGACTCATATAATCCAGTTGAAAGCCAATAATGTTGATGCTCTGCTTTGAACTGGATTATATGGCAGTGCAGACTCATATAATCCAGTTCTAAGCCAATAATGTGGATGGTCTGCTTTGAACTGCATTATATTGCAGTGCAGACTCATATAATCCAGTTCAAAGACAATAATGTGGATGGTCTGCTTTGAACTGGATTATATGTCAGTGTAGAGTCATATAACCCAGTTCAAAGCAGATAATGTGGATGATCTGCTTTAATAATCTTGTTTATATGTTAGTGTTGAAGGGGTCTAAGTGCTCCAAGTGACTCCATGGTATTTTAAGTCAAATGTCTTTTATTGCAAGAGAGATCACTATTATCCATAGTTTTGCATATGCAAGTGAAGTCTAGGAATGTATTTTCTGTGAATATGGGGGTCACACTGTACCCTCATTTCAATTTTATTTCTTCTCCCGGTATGAGTAAGGACCACTAACAAAATCAAATAAATCAGGACATGCCTGCGGGTTTCGGAAGTGAAATTCCTTCTGGTCCTTCGGAACCCCTCGATAGGAGAGCCATTCTTCATTCACCTGAGACCCAGGGAGGTCGGGCGATTCAGGATCCAGTTTGCAAAAGTATGTGGCTGAAGCAGAGCGATCCCTGAAAAAGATGCAAATGCAGGCAGGGGTGGAGGTAAAAAGTTGGACAAGTTACTTTTTGGGGTTGATCAGAAAGAAGGGAAAGCGAAGGAAAATGGGGCACCACTTTTAAGATGAACCGGTTTTAATTTTAGCCTGAGCTTTCATGGATATAAACCCACTTCTTCAGATGCAGTGCAAAAGTGATGTTTTCCCCAGGTATAAACAAAAATGTAGCAGGATCCAGAAAGATGCAAACCACCACTTGCCCTCCATTCTTAAAGGATCTTTACAGCACATCTCCTATCTCATTGCTTTTCTCTTTGAAAATTTAGACCAAGGGACACAATTTGCACTCTATTTACTTACTTACTTACTTACTTACTTACTTACTATATTTATATCCCGCCTAGAAGGGGACTCTAGGCGACTCACAACATAGGCATTAATTCAATGCCTTAAAAACTATATACATTTAAATAAACATTTCAATTAAAAATTTAAAATCAAGGTTAGAAAACATTAAAAACATTACAATTACTATTATAAATCACACTATCCACAATAATAGTTCAGGCCATTCTGGTAGCCATTGCATTTAATTCCAAATCCATCTATTACACTGTATTAGTCTCCAAAGACTTGATCCCAGAGACACGTTTTCACTCTCTTTGTGAAGTTCAGAAGGGAAAGGGCCAATCTAGTATTACTGGGGAGGGAGTTCCATAGCCGAGGGGCCACCATTGAGAAGGCCTTGTCTCTTGTTCCTACCAGTTGCACCTGCAGACGAGGTGGGACCGAGAGCAAGGCCTCACCCGACAATCTTAACCTCCGAGGTGGATCATAGAGGGAGATACATTCAGCTTGGTATGATAGCCATGGTTTAACTTTCTTTCTAAAGGCTAGGAGGTAAGGGGCTGATTGAATATCGCTGGGGAGGGAGTTCCATAGACGAGGGACCACCAATGAGAAGGCCCTGTCTCTTGTCCCCACCAACCATGCCTGGGAAGGAGGTGGGACCGAGAGAAGGGCTTCCCCAGAAGATCTTAATCTCTGTGATGGTTCATAGGAAGAGATACGTTCAGACAGGTAAACTGGGCAGAACCATTTAGGGCTTTATAGGCTAAAGCCAACACTTTGAATTGTGCTCGGTAGCAGACTGGCAGCCAGTAGAGCTGATGCAACAGGGGGGTTGTATGCTCCCTGTACGCCACTCCAGTGAGCAATCTGGGGGCGACCCGTTGGACCATTTGGAGCTTCCGAACAGTCTTCAAAGGCAACCCCACACAGAGTGCGTTGCAGTAGTCTATTTGGGATGCAACCAGAGTGTGGTCTACCGTGGCCAAGTTTGGCTTCTCAAGATATGGGTGCAACTGGCACACAAGTTTTAATTGTGCAAAAGCTCCCCTGGCCACCGTCCAAACCTGGGGTTCCAGGCTCAGCGATGAATCCAGAATTCCCAAGCTGCGAACCTGTGTCTTTGGGGGAGTGTAACCTTGTCCAGCACAGGTTGTAAGCCTATACCCTGTTTGGCCTTACAACTGACCAGGAGGACCTCTGTCTTATCTGGATTCAATTTCAATTTGTTTGCCCTCATCCAGACTGTCAAAGCTGCCAAGCATCGGTTCAGGACCGATGTACAGATGACCTCGAACTCCAAAACTCTGCATGATCTCTCCCAGCGGCTTCATGTAGATGTTAAACAACATGAGGGACAGTATTAAGTCCTGCAAGACCCCACAAGACAAAGGCTGTGAGGCCGAGCTGTTGTCCCTCAACAACACCTTCTGGGAACAATCCTCGAAGGACCAGAGCCACTGCAAAACAGTACCCCCAAGCTGCATTCCTGTGAGGCATCCCAGATGGATACCATGGTCAACAGTATCAAAAGCCACTGAGAAGTCCAAGAGAACCAACAGGAACACATTTCGCCTGTCCAGTTACCGGCGTAGATCATCTACTAAGGCGACCAAGGCCTACTAAGGCGTTTCATGTCCCGGTATGAATCCAGACTGTGTCGGAGCCAGATAGTTATTTTCCTCCATTAATATTTGGGAGTTGCTAGGCCACCATATGTTCAAAGACTTTGTCCAAAAAGGGGAGACTGGACACAGGCTGAAAGTTGTTCAATTGAGTAGGTTCCAGTGATGTTTTTTTTTTCAACAGCGGTTTTATTACAGCCTCTTTTAGGCTGGTTGGAATTTTGCCTTCCCGCAAGGAGGCATTAACCACCACCTTCACCCACTATTCCACTCCCTTCAATAAACTGTATAACCCGAGGTCTTGATAGCATTCGGCACTACATCTGAAGAAGTGGGTTTGTACCATGTCTGGTCTACACTGTCCTATAATCCAGTTCACAGATAATCTGGATTTTATATGGTATGAACAGGATCTTCTTTTCTAATCCCCATCAGCCTCTCACCTGTGTTCCAGCGCCATCACCAAAAACCCACGGGAAGCCATTTCGATGCAGATGGCAGAATACACCGTTCTGGAAATGGAAGAGCAAAGGAGAAAGTTGCCTGCAGTGGAGGAGTAAATAGTGCAACCCATCACCCTTGCAGTGAAGTGGATTGAATGTTGGACTCCACCTCTAAAGATCTCTGCTCAACCATAAGACCTTCTGTCTGTCTGTCTGTCTGTCTGTCTGTCTGTCTGTCTGTCTATCTATCTATCTATCTATCTATCTATCTATCCATCTATCTATCTATTTAATGTATTTGTTATACTGCCCTTCTCAGCCCTCAGGCAACTCAAGGTGTTTTACAGAGGCAACAGTTAAATGCCCAACAACACCATAAAACGTTCAAAAACATTAAACATATAATATAAAACCATAACAAAAGCAATAACAACATAAATCATGTGTGATTAAAAACATTGTCCAATTTCATCATCCAGTTGTTCCGTATTCCTATGTCGATTGCACTGCATTTTCAAACACTTCCTCAAACAGCCAAGTCTTGACTCTTTTCCGAAATGTTAAGAGGAAGGGGGACAATCTAATGTCCCTAGGAAGGGCATTCCATAGCCGAAGGGCCACCACTGAGAAGGTCCTATCTCTCATTCCTGCCGAATGTATTTGTGATGCAGGCGGGATTGAAAGCAGGGCCTCCCCAGACCTAGCAGGTTCATAAAGTATGTAACTTTGGGCCAGTCACACTCTCTCAACTTCAGAGGAAGGCAACGGGAAACCTCTTGCCAAGAAAATCCTGCAATAGCTTTGCCTTAGGGTTGCTCTAGATCAGAAACAACCTGAAAGCATATGATTTATAAGTATCTGCTATACTATGGAAACCGACGGAGTGATTTTGGGCACGTTAGATTTCCTCCTTCGGAGAAGGCAATGGCGAAGCTTCTCAGAATAAATCCTGCCAAGAGACTCTTAGGATGGGGTGATTTAGGGTGCATCTATACTGTAGATTGGAATTAATGCAACTTGGAAGATTGTTATGGCTCAATGCTGTGGAATCTTGAGATTTTTTAGTTTGGTGAAGCAGTAGACAAATAGGTACCACTGTGACGGGAAGGTAAAAGGCCCCCCTGAATTTATTTATTTATTTATTTAAAAAATTGATATCCTGATTTCCTCACCTCTGTAGAGGGACTCAGACCGGCTTACAGCAAGGATTCAATGTTACTAATACAAGTTAAAACATTATACAACAATACAAGATTAAAATACATATATACCAAATCGCCAAGGTAAAATCATGTTCAACTCAGTCCGCATATGTGGTCACTCACTTTGGTCTGTAACCAGTCTCAGCCATTATTCTGGGAATGCTTCATTCCATAACCAGGATTTCACTAGCCTCCTGAAGGACAAGAGGGAGGGGGCAGATCTAATCTCGCTCAGGAGAGAGTTCCATAGCCGAGGGGCCACCACAGAGAAGGCCCTGTCTCTTGTTCCCACCAAACACGCTTGCGAAGGTGGTGGGATCGAGAGCAGGGCCTCTCCGGAAGATCTTAACGTCCTTGATGGTTCATAGGGGAAAATATGTTTGGACAGGTAAACTGGGCCGAACCATGCCGGCAACATGACCAGAGCTGGGCATGTTTAGCCTTCAGAAGGGAAGGCTGAGAAGAGACATGATGAAGGCCATGTATAAATATGTGAGGGGAAGTTATAGGGAGGAGGGAGCAAGCTTGTTTTCTGCTGCCCTGGAGACTAGGACGTGGAACGATGCCTTCAAACTACAGGAAAGGAGATTCCGCCTGAACATTAGTAAGAACTTCCTGATTGTAAGGAGAACTGTTCATCAGTGGAACTCTCTGCTTCAGAGTGTGGTGGTGGCTCCTTCTTTGGAAGCTTTTAAACAGAGGTTGGATGGCCATCTGTTGGGGGTGCTTTGAATGTAATTTTCATGTTTCTTGGCATAATGAGGTTGGACTGGATGGCCTACAAGGTCTCTTTATGATTCTATGAATTTGATCAGGAAGGTGTCCATGGACAACAAGCTCCTTGGTGTGGAAACACGGTACAAGAGCACCTCCCCATGGCCGAGTCGAGCACAGCCTCCAGATGCTGGGAATAAAAAAAAGGGAAGCCTTGCCTCTGTCTATGTATTGTCTGTTTTTGTTAATTGTATAGCGGCACTGAATGTTTGCCAGTTATGTATTCTGTAATCTGCTCTGAGCCCCCTCGGGGAGATACAGCGGAATATAAATAAGGTATATTATTATTATTATTATTATTATTATTATTATTATTACTAGCCGTCCCCTGCCAGGCGTTGCTGTGGTACACATGGGGGTTCTGTGTGTGAGAGGTTTGGCCCAATTCTATCATTGGTGGGGTTCAGAATGCTCTGTGATTGTAGGTGAACTATAAATCCCAGCAACTACAATTCCCAAATGTCAAGATTCTATTTCCCCCAAACTCCACCAGTGTTCACATTTGAGCATATTGCGTATTCGTGTAGAGTTTGGTCCAGATCCATCATTGTTTGAGTCCACAGTGATCTCTGGATGTAGGTGAACTACAACTCCAAAACCAAAGGACACTGCCCACCAAACCCTTCCAGTATTTTCTGTTGGTCATGGGGGAACTGTGCACCAAGTTTGGTTCAATTCCATAGTTGGTGGGGTTCAGAATGCTCTTTGATTGTAGGTGAACTATAAATCCCAGGAACTACAACTCCCAAATGGCAAAATCAATTTTTTTGAGTGAAGGACATACATTGGGTTGTTAGGTGTATTGTGTCCAAATTTGGTGTCAATTCGTCCAGTGGTTTTTGAGTTCTGTTAATCCCACAAACGAACATTACATTTTTATTTATATAGACTAGCCGTTCCCTGCCACGCATTGCTGTGGCCCAGTCTGTGTATATGTGTTTTGTGTGTATATGTGTGTATATGTGGTTTGTGTTGTAATGTATTTATTATTATTATTATTGCTTTTTAAGTCTCTTCCGCTGTATTTTTCAGTGTTTTAATGAGTGATGGTCATTTGTTGGCCTGATAGGTGTGTTGTGTCCAAATTTGGTGTCAATTCACCCAGTGGTTTTTGAGTTCTGTTAATCCCACAAATGAACATTACATTTTTATTTATATAGATTTGTAAAAACTCCCATCACTCTGTAGCAATGAGCTATGGCAGTTAAAGTAGTGCCAATTCTTATATCTAAAACTAGCGGTCCCCTGCCACGCGTTGCTGTGGCCCAGTCTGGTGATATGGAAAATAAAGTAATTAGAAAGTACTGGTTTCCCATATATGTAATGTCTTTATGCTTGTGGGTAAACAGTATTTCTTGATGTTTCTTTGACAGTGTTGATGTAGAGATTGTCGGGTTTGCCTACTCTGGAACATGCAACATATAATTGTCCATCTTTAGGAGTCCTTTTCAAATCTATAATACTTTATCTGTGTGTGTGTGAATCATATGTATCTATCGATATCTGTGGCTGGATGGCTCTCTGTCAGGAGGGCTTTGATTACGTTTTCTTGCCCTGGTGAAGGGAGTTGGACTGGATGGCCTTAAGTATTTTCTGTTGGTCATGGGGGTTCTGTGTGGGAAGTTTGTCCCGATTCTGTCATTCGTGGGGTTCATTCAGAATAGTCTTTGATTGTAGGTGAACTATAAATCCCAGTAACTACAACTCCCAAATGCCAAGGTCTATTTCCCCCAAATTCCATCTGTGTTCATATTTGGTCATATGGAATATTCATGCCAAGTTTGGTCCAGATCCATCATTGTTTGAGTCCACAGTTCTCTCTGGATGTAGGTGAACTACAACTCCCAAACTCAAAGTCAATGCCCACCAAATGCTGCTAGTATTTTCTGTAGGTCATGGGAGGCCAAGTTTGGTTCAATTCCATCATTTGTGGGTTCAGAATGCTCTTTGATTGTAGGTGAACTATAAATCCCAGCAACTACAACTCCCAAAGGTCAAGATTCTATTTTCCCCAAACTCCACCAGTGTTCACATTTGGGCATATTGAGTATTCGTGTAGAGTTTGGTCCAGATCCATCATTGTTTGAGTCCACAGTGATCTCTGGATGTAGGTGAACTACAACTCCAAAACCAAAGGACACTGCCCACCAACCTTCCAGTATTTTCTGTTGGTCATGGGAGAACTGTGTGCCAAGTTTGGTTCAATTCCATCGTTGATGGAGTTCAGAATGCTCTTTGATTGTAGGTGAACTATAAATCCCAGCAACTACAACTCCCAAATGACAAAATCATAATTTTTTGAGTGATGGTCACTCCTTGTGTTATGAGATGTTTTGTTGCCAAATTTGGTGTGATTTCGTTCATTGGTTCTTTTGTTTTTAAGGTACTCATTATGCACAGAGCATTTATATATATATATATATATATATATATATATATATATATATGCCCTCATGAGGTCATTAGTGACAACAAACACAATGTGTGTGTGCATCCCCCCTCTATACATCTAAAATATATATGAATGAGAAAGGTTCATAACACACAAACCCAAAACCATCAAATTCCGCTTTGCTCAAGGGTGCTCATATCAAAAGGGGGAAAATAATCTCAGTGTGTACTGTAAACATGACCTCAATAAGATCTTGGCAGGCAGTAACAGCACTTTAAAAACAAATGCACTCAAATATCCCAAAGAGTGCTGTCTAATCCATGACATCTAATCCAAGATGTGTTGGGTCTTGTGATAAACTAAGCTGTTCGGGAGGATATTTATCCTTTGGTTTTATGTAATGAACTCACAAGGATTTGACGGCCGGGTGGCAAAGCAGCCTTCTAAAAGGCTTTGGGATGTCTTGCTTTCCAGGTATCTGTTTGATCAAACTTAAAACGGACCCAAAGCAACCTGTACTCCTGCTAGTGGTTAGCTATAACCCCCAAATGCTTCCTTAGTACTGGGTGCCTGGGATCTCCAGATAGATATAAAGATAGATAGATGTTAGGCTTGGGTAACCACGGAAAAATTTGGTTCTAAACTCGTTTTGTTTTTAGGGGGCCCTTGCGTTTCGTTTTTTTAATAATTCCGAAATTTTC